TGCAGGAGGCAGCTGATCCATGTTTCTCTCTCATTGATGTTTCTAACTCTCTATCTCTCTCCCTTCCTCTCTGTAAAAAATCAATAAAATATATATTTTAAAAAATCAACTAAATTTAAAAAAAAATTCTTGTTTATGTTTTCATCTAAGGTGATTTCTCCCCCTACTTGGGGAAAGATGAAGATAGAGGTAATAATGTAAAATGGCTTACCAGTATTTTTTGTGTTTTTTTTGGGGGGTCGGGGTGGGGGGAGTAGGGAGGGCAGAGAACTAAAGTGATACACAGTGGTATTCAAGTTTCTAAACCGTATGGGAGTGGGGCCCAATTCCTGAGTCAATGACAAAATTTTTTTTCACAAAGTTAAATACATCTTATAGGATAGCTATTATGTAAGTAGAACCTTTGCAAGTATCTATGAGACATTTTAAATAGTAAAGCCCAACCCTAGCTGGTTTGACTCAATGGATATTGTGTCAGCCTGCAACTGAAGGGTCCTGGGTTTGATTTCGGGCATATGCCCAGGTTGCAGGCTCAATCCCCAGTAGGGGGCGTGCAGGAGGCAGCCGATCAATGATTCTCATCATTGATCTCTTATCTCTCTCCCTTTTTCCCTAAAATCAATAAAAGTATATTTCAAAAATAAAAATATAAAATAAAGACCAGCCACTGTGGCTCAGAGGTTGAGCATTATGAACAGATCACGGTTAGATTCCTGGTCAGGGCACATGCCCAGGTTGTAGGCACCATCCCCAATAGGGGGTGTGCAGGAGGCAGCAGATAAATGGTTCTCTCATCAATGTTTCTGACTCTCCCTCTCATCTCTTCTCTGAAATCAATAAAAATATATTTTTAAAAATAAAAAAAATTAACAAGATACCACTAAGTTGCAATGGCCTGTCTTATCTAGCACAGGATCTTGTACAAAAATAAACATTTTTAACATATTCTGAAATGCTTACAGTTCAGGAACCAATAAAGCCTTTAAAGTTAGCAGTGGGGGCCTAGTTTGCTAAAACACAGCCAAGTAACTGAAAAAAGCTGATTTGGAATCAAACACATTCTAACTTCAACTCACCTTTCTGCTAATCAGAACCTCTCAGATACCACTGGCTCACTTGTAAAAGAATACTCTCTCTAAAATTATTACTTAAACTCTACTAAGTATGTATAAGAGCAATTTGAAAAATACTGATGGCAACACCCCCCTCCCCAAATGAGTCTTAGCTGGTTTGGCTCAGTGGATAGAGCATCGGACTGCAGACTGAAGGGTCCCAGGTTCAATTCCAGTCAATGGTATCTACCTCGGTTGTAGGCTCCTTCCCATCCCGGGCCCTGGTCAGGGTTCGTGCAGGAGGCAACCAATTGACATTTCTCTCACATTGGTATTTCTCTGTCTTCTCCTCTCCAAAAATCAATGGATAAATATCCTTGAGTGAGGAATAAAAAAACAAAATACAAACAAGGGCATGGGTGATTCTATTCTGCAACTTGGTTAACAACCACTGAATTGAACAGTGATGGAGACAATTTTCTTCCCCACCCCATAGCTTGATCCAACTACCTACCTTCTCCGTGACTGAGTGTATTACCAAGTGGACTGCTGCCATAAACATGAGGCCTACTTTCAGCTAAGGCAATGACATCCCCACCATGCTTCTACAGATCAGCATCAGTTCATTCTCCCACACCTAAGCAATAACCCTTTGTACAATGCCCTCGAGCTTAGTCACTAGATATGTCTTAAACTTCTACCACTTACCTTCAGGCCACAAACTCCTGAAGGATATTATGTATCCCGAGGAGGGGGTTCCTTTCAATCCAAAGCTACTTGCTTCATACTACTGATCTCACTATCAGCTTGAAAGTTGTACCAGACTTCTCACTTTCCCTTTTTCCCAACTATTACTAAGTTACGACTTTAATCCATGTAAAACCATACGGCTACACTACTTGCTATTTCTTGGATTTCAAAGTACTAAATTCATACTGTCTCCACATCTTTTTCCAGTTTCCCTTTTCAGTTGATGACATACCATTATAAACTCTACATCCTTTGTGCCTTGTTGTATCCAAACTTCCACTAAGTGTTATCAATTGTGCTTAAGTTGTTCACTAAGTCAATTTTTCTATTATCCCCCTACGAGGCCCAGTGCACCAATTTCGTGCACAGGTGGGGGGGGGGTCCCCCTCAGCCCAGCCTGCATGCTCTCCAATCCGCGACCCGTCAGGGGATGTCCGACTTGCCTCTCGCAATCTGGGACTGCTGGCTCCTAACCACTCACTGCCTGCCTGATTGCCCCTAACTGCTCCCCTACCAGCCTGATCTCCTCTGCCTCTGCCTCGCCCTGCACCCGGGACCCAGGATTCCCTCCTTCTGGCCAGCTGCAGGCAACCAGGACACGGGTCATCTTTGCCCGGTCCACAGCTGCAGGTGCCCAGGATCACGGGGCAGGTGGCTTGTCCCTCTCCTGGGCTGCAGCCTTAGCTGGACCCCATTCCTCTCTCCCCAGTGTGTCTGAGCCATTAGTGTGTTGGTGTGAGGACCATTTGCATATTAGCTCTTTATTATATAAGATTGCCTGTAATTGGAGACTTAAGTTTTACTGGTTTACCTCATTTATTCTTTCCTTGCTTAAATATACAGTCAAGATTTCTGAAATGTTATTAAGACAATTTTTTTCTAAAAAATGTTATTGATTTCAGAGAGGATGAGAATGATGAATCATTAATTGGCTGCCTGCAAGCCCCCAACTGGGGATCGAGCCTACAACCCAGGCATGTGCCCTTTACCAGCATCGAACCCGGGACCCTTCAGTCCATAGGCCAACACTCTGTCCACTGAGCCAAACCAGCTACAGTGAGACCATCTTGAAAGTGATTTACAAGCCCTGAAGAGTCCTGACTCTTGCCTTTTTCTTGAGCCCCATGCACAGGCTAGGACAGTCACTCCCTACATCAGCCAAACCGGCATTCTTCTAATTCCAACTAATATACTAGTCCCTCCTATCAAGACTTCGACTTCTATTCAAACTTCTTGGTGAGGTAATTCCCTTCCATATGCACCAAGTCTTATTTTTCCTTTAGGTCTAAGTATAACATTAAGGACATAAACTCTAATTTCTGAATGTAGCTTTTTGAAAGCCAAAAAATGTCTATATCCTTTACCTGACACTGACAGCTGATTAGAACAGATGTAACATGAAAATCTAAAAACTGTTAGTAATAGAAGACACTTGTCCTGTGTCCGTCTCTCTACATTTGGTAAACCATTTCTAGTACTATTTGTTTCATAATGGTTAGGAAAGAAAACTAGGAGACTGGAAAAAATTGTGTATAAATCCTTTATTAAAAAAAAAAAAACTTTCACTAAATCAGGCCTTGACTGACTCATGAAGTTTTGCGTGTGGCATCTGGTTTAAAAGATGTTAGTAATAATCTTCTTTTTTATTAATCCCATTTTTAAGAGAGTGGAAGGGGGTGGGTGAGTGGCAGAAAAACATCAATGTAAGAGATACACATCTATTTGGCTGCCTCCTGCACGGGCCCCCACTAGAGCCAGGATGGAGCCTGCAACCGAGGTACGTGTCCTTGACCAGAATCAAACTGGGGACCCTTCATGAAGTCTGTGGGCTTATGCTCTGAGCCAAACAGGCTAGGGCCCTAATCATCTTTTCTTTCAAATAGTCTTTGCAAGAGTTGCAATTAATTCAATTGCAAGTGAATATCAACGAATGGAATCTTCTTTAAAATGTAAACATATAACAAAAAGTATTAGAGAAACTAACAAAACCTGAACCATAATTTGAATTGGAATATGGAAAAGAATCCCTATAATGGTAACTTGTTGTTTCTCATATGGCCATTTCAACTGTTTGGAAATTACCTTAAACATAATTTGAAGCATACAGGTTCAAGAAATTTGGGTCCTGTATTATAATACACAGCACTGAAAAAAACCTCATTTAAATCTCAAATTTTCTAATCTTTGTTGTTGAAAGTATTACATATGTCCCCTTTTTTCCCCAGACTCTTTCCTCTTTCTAGCCTGCCCTGCCCTTTGCCCCGGGCCTTTACCACGCTATTGTCTGAATCCATGGGTTATGCACACTGAAATAAAAATTTGTTAGTTTTTTAAAATATATTTTATTGATTTTTCAGAGGAAGGGAGAGGGATAGAGAAACATCGATGAGAGAAACATCCATCAACTGTCTCCTGCACACTCCCTACTGGGGATGTGCCTGCAACCAAGGTACATGCCCTTGGCCGGAATTGAACCTGGGATCTTTCAATCCACAGGCTGACGCTCTATCCACCAAGCCAAACCGGTTAGGGCAAATTTGTTAGTTTTAAAAGTATTCTATATTACTTTCAAGCTAGCTGGTGAAATATTTTTGCTGTGTTCTACATTTTTATTTGATTAGAATCTAGTAAGATTCATAATCACTTAAAACTAGACAAATGTTTTCTGAATCTTATATTTAACAATAAAAGAGCCCAAAAATCTTTTAGGTTTCTAAATCTTCATTTCAGTCTAATACCATCTGCTTTAAGGACCACCAAATGCCATTACAGATGAAAATAACCACTATCTAGGAGGCTGGCTTAAAGACAAAATACAGACACAGTCCAACTTTTGTTATATTGCACTAGAGGACCGGTGCACGAAATTCGTGTACTCAGGGGGTGGGGTCCCTCAGCCCAGCCCAGCCTGAGCCCTTGGGGGATGTCCGACTGCCTTGGAGGCAGGAGAGGGTCCTGCCACTGCTGCTGCCCAGCTTCTGGCTGAGTGGCACACACTATGGGAGCGCAATGACCACCAGGGGGTGGCTTCTGCACTGAGCGTCTGCCCCCTGGTGGTCAGTGTGCGTCATTAGTGACGGATCATTCTGCCATTCAATCAATTTTCATATTAGCCTCTTATTATATAGGATAGCCAATAGATACCATTATACAATGGTTAACAAATTATAAATCAAGCAAAAAGAACAAACTGCAAAGTATTATCAAAACTGGTTTATTTTCAATACAAGATAAATACCATGCTTGTTACTAGTGCAGTTTAAGGCCAACAATGGCCATATAGCAAACTGCTGAACAATCACCTAAATGCTAAAGAAAGAAAGTAAACATTAAACATAAAATTGCAATTACAAACATCTTAATAAAATGGAATGAGCTTTTTAGTAGAAGCAAATATGGAAGTCTAGTTATCCTGGACACCAAAAATATGTCATTTGATTACCTTACCTTTTGCACAGAAATCTTATTGTGTGAAGTCACCATAGAGTCTCAACAGCTAAAATTTCAAGACTTTCTTTGGCCTTCTGGTATTAGACAAATTATTTACAAACCATGATTCAGTAATTCATGGATACTGGAATATGATACAATTTTTTTAAGGTCTTTCCATCAAAATTGTAAAACAACTCTGTAAGGCTGTACAAGGCTGTAAACTACTTTGCTAATATACCAATGAATGAAGAGGAAGAAGGAATAATAGACCTTTTTTTTAAGGCTAAAGTCATCAATGTTATAGATGCATTCCTTAGAATACACTATTACCCCAAAGATTCCTTTCCCATTAAATACCACCTGAGTACTTCAATTTTCAACATAAAAAAATAAACATGAATCCACCATTGTATTTTAAAATAACTTACAAAATGCTGAGAAGTGTTACGTAGTAACAATGTAACAAGAAAGAAAAATCTTCAAAATGAAATGTTTAATTTCATTTATGAGTCTAATTATGAAATTAATGTAAAACATTTACACCCATGGCAGAGTTTTAGAATACTCACACACGGAATGGAAAACTCTCTGTAGTATATACTATCCGCAGATAACATTTTAAGATTTGTGTGATTTCAATGAAATTCTACCTAATATTTTAAAAGACTCCCATTACAATTTTCATATAGCAGGAAGTCTTTAAAACATTAAAAACCATACTAGCTGCATACTCAGAGCGAATGCCAAAAACCTGAAATTTTAAAGAAACATTGGTTAAGACAAATCTAAATTAATCTGAACAGGATACAATTGCCTGAATATTTTGAATATTCATAAAAATTCACATTGCTTCTTTCTAATGCCAAGAAAGAAGAGTATATTAAGAACTTCCTCCCAGAAGCCTAGACATTTTAGCACATTTTCTATTTCAACTTAATGAAACTTTAATCCTGAATCTTCTGATTTCTCTAAATTAAAACTTTCACATTACTAACACAAGGAATGCTATATGTAAGGCCACATCTTAATAAATTTATAATTTTTGGTTGAATATTTATTTAAAAATTAGTCTAAGGCTTCTAAGAGTCAAGTTGCTAAAAAAAATACACCAGTGTTTAAACTGAAGATTAATGTAAAAAAATAAAATAAAACAACAACACACACACTTTAAGAACAGAAAAATAGAATGCTTTGCTACAAAATCCCCACTTAATGTATTTTAGCACAAAAATGTCAGATATGTACAATGGATAAGCGTGCATTTAAGTACATACAACTGTGGGAAACATTTACAGACGGCTATGGGATGCAAATGAACTTAATGAATTAAAATTTAAAGGGCAGGTATCTGCAAAGCGCCAAGAATTTCAATACTATATTCTTGGTAAAGATTCAGAACATAAACTTTCTCTGAAAATAACAGACTGAACATTAAAACACAAAATTGGGGCCATCTTATAAGATACAGAAAATGCAATGATCATTCAGGTAATAAAAACCAAAATGTCGAGAGCACTCCAACAGAAAGTCTTGTAGTAGCATCTCATTGTATAAAACAATATGTATTTATTTAATTATTGGCACATTTAAATATGTAAGGGAAAGTCTTTACCCTTCCAACAATTTTCCCCTTTCACTATAAAATGTTATACAACATTCATTAAAACCTGTGTTTAAGAACTGACCTTAAACTAAAAAAAAACCCAAAAAAAACAAAAACAAAAAAACCAGCAATGTTCTCCACGGGAGAATTAAATTAAAAAAAAAAATACTTTAAGCTACAATCCATAAGTTACTTGTGAACTCCAAATTGTAGTTAACTGCTTAAGAATATGTGAGGTAAAGGGAACATTAAATGGACTAAACTATGATCACCAGCCACCTCAACTTAGTCCAAATCTTGCTTATGAAAACTGACCAAATAAACACTTCCAAATTTACACTGGAATATTCTTTCTACAACAAATGTCCTTTAACTAAAAGCAGCACACTTCAATTCAAAGTGTTGCTTCAGGAAGCAATACCATTCAGGTGCTGTATCACTCACATAACTTTACTGACTGAAAGGAATGTGACTGCATAGCACTAATAAATGCTATGGTTTAAAATAAAACTCACGTTTGTTTTCATATCCACTGTAACTAAGAAAAAATTGAAAGGTCTCCGGACTCTCTCTCTCTCTCTCTCTCTCTTTTTTTGGTGTCTATGTAAATAAAGACTTATCTCTTTGGATTGTTTTTATACATAAAAAAATTTTTTTTTAAAAATCACATCAGCCCATAAACAACAGAAGGGATATAAATAAAACAAGGATTGCAATTTTCACCTTTACAGCTGTACATTCATGTGTTATCAGATAGAACAAGACTGTGAAATTTAATTAGTCAAACCAAAAAGTTATTTCCTTCTGATGACACTTAAAAAATAATGAACTAGTAGCAAGCAATTCTAGTACACTCACACTGTCTGCAATAAGTCAAATAATGAGATAAGCCATGTAGGGAGAAGAGTGACACAGAATGAGCAATTAAAGGGTTCCACTGATAAAAAGTGAGAAAGTAAATGAAGGATTTAATTAGCATAAAATTTCCAGTTTCATTTCAAGTTCAAACAGTTAGATTTCTATGATTCCATTTTAACATTGTTCAGAGAAATGTTTATTCACATGGATACTTACTTACCTTTTAAGATCACTATTAACTAATTTCCCTTGTAATAGATTTATGTCCGTATTTTGCATTAGGGCATTATAATTAAAATATAAAAAACTAGGAAATGACAAAAATGAAAAAACACCTATATACAAAACAAGAAAATCGATTTTGATACAACTCTCAAATGTTTAAAAGGCAAGTGCATTTCAACAAGATAAAACACTTTAAAAATTTGAGAGCAAAGAGTTCTGATAAACACCAATGATCCCATGCATGAAAACTCAACAAATTGTTTTAAAATAAAACTGGCAGTAATATGAATTTGAAACAGTTAATTTTGAAAGAACTAGTGTGACAGCACACAGATTAAGTGAAGAACTGCAGTGCAAATCTCAGGAGGGTTCTAAAGTTGCACATGACATAATATCTAGGGTACCTAAACTTTAAGCATTGTCCTAAAATTTGGCGATACTTTTAAAAAACCAATGTGTATTATCAGAAGACCTCTCAAAGATAATCATATCTTAAAAATAATTTATAACCTGCTTAAGGATTTTCACTCAAATTTCTGTAGTGATTCAGAATAACCTTCCTGTAAAATAGCTAATCAAGGTGACACTGCCTATGCTAATGTTGCAATTAAGAACATATGCTAGGCAAGTGCTTATACTGTGGGCCTTTATGCAAGGCAGGTTTGAAAAAAAAAATCTTTGATTAACCAAGTAACTCTAGCATGAATCAATAGGTTGCATAAAAATACACAGAATTCTTTAACTATGGAGATAGATAGGGTATACCTATAATCTCCCATTACACATTTGGGAGAATACAACCTGATGTTAATAAACATCACACCCTTCAGAAATCTATATAGTAACCAGAAAATAAAACTAAGGCTCTCTTTACTCAAATATGTCTGCTGCATGACTGTATTTACATTGCCCATGGCTTCAAAAATTAACCATAAGCACTATCAATATAAAACCACAAGTAATTGCCGCATCAAATAGAAATTGTCAAAATATTTCTTCAATACCAGAAGTTTACAATTAAGCATTTCAGTACATTTGTGTTGTGACTTAAGCTGCATTACTGTAGCAAATAATGCATGGATTTTAACTAAATTGTTAAAACCACAAAATTGTTTTGACCCCAACACATTGCCTGAATTGCTGTCTGTGAAATTTCAGTTTTTATAGGTTTACATACCATTCAGCAAAACCACAAGCTAACTAGGTAAAAAGAGCTAGAAAAGCAGAATATAGAAATATTAAATATCCGTGTAATAACCTATCCTAATATCAAACCAAGGGCAACAGACACTTAATTAGTATGTTTAATTGACTGAATGCAAGATTAGATTGATGCATATCCAAAAATGCTATTGCAACGCCTTTTTAGAGGACAGTATAAATGTCATAGTAACATTATCTTTAGATATTGCTAAACACAAGACTTTCCCTGAGGTGTAAACATCAAATAACTTGAACAGCTTTACACATCAGCCCCATTAAACAGTTTATTACAACACTACATCTATTGTAATCAAAGTGGTGCTGTTTACAGACATTATCATATGAACATTTTTAACAAGAACAAACTACTATAAAAACAAGCATTTACTTGACATTTGTTTCAATTGCTTGCACATTATAATGGCCAAAAAGTATATAACCAGTAATAAAGTTGCAAAAGCTTTAACTTTTAAATCACACAGGTTTTCCTCAAATAAAAACAGTTAAGCAACATAAAAAAGAAAAGGAGCTACTGGTTACCATTTATGCAGATTTGCTTTATTCAGATCTATTCCTGTTCATTTTATCCATGAATCCTTACACGTTCAGTTCAATCACAAGAAGCAAACTGCTGGACAAGCGTCATGTTTCCCTCATGAAGACTGTTTTGTCTTGGAAGGTGTTCCTCTTCCTTCAGCTGTAATGTGTCAAAATTTGTGATGTAGATTTTGCTATTCCCCATAATACACAGAAAAACGCTGGCTTAACTATACAAACACAAGTCGTGCATCTATTTCACTGTTATGTATTCTAACACAAAGTAAGAATTGAAACAGTAGCTGCCTTTGTGGTGGAGAAATGTTCCCAATTTATGTGATGATTAAAACTTGAGACATTCTGATTTCATTCTTTTTGGACCTTAATGTCTTATACATTTAATGACTGAAACAGAAAAGAAAAAAATATAGCAGCTACTGTTTCTGTGACGATGGAAACATAAGTCATTTTCTAAAATATGCATACTACAAAATAATTTTTAAATGCTTGATTTTAATGTAAATATTTTCATTCAAACACATATCAATTCTATAGAATGCATTAACAATTAAATGCGAAGTGAATATAAAATGCAATAAATTATTTTACAAATTAGTTGTATTTATTTAACAGCATACAGGAACTTCTGTAAATGTTATCAATCAAAGGGTCCTCCATGTTACAAAATTTATGAATATATAGCTTAGTATGCACATTTAAATAAATATAATAACATCCATGTACAAATTTTCAGACGTAATACAAATTTAAAACATTTACTTTACTTTCACTCTCATCCTCCTATATTTAAATATCTAATGTAATAAACTAACCAAAAACAAGCTAAATAGGAATCTACAATAAATTTCATTGAAAACTCACATAAAGGGAAAAAAAAACAATGAATTTGATAAACTAAAATTTTAAGAATACATAAATGTGCAAACTTCAAGTAGAGATTCACAAAAAAAAGCCATTCAATTTACTTAGATAAGTGATCACTGAAACATCAAGTATTTAAAATATAAACCCCAAGAGAGCACTTCAATAAGAGGCAAAAGAGCACAATATTTAGTGATATTTTGCCATAAGTTAAGAAATATTTTTGCTCTGTAATTATGAGTACTTAATATTCTATCAAACTATACATTTTATCTTTTATGTCCTTTCCTCTCCACTAGGCTCTAAGAATCTTAAGAGCATCAGTACACATATCACATTCTCACTGTCTAGCAGTAAAAACCTACATTGTGTAACTGCAAAAGGAAAAAGCAATGTTATAATCTTGGACTTTCTCTTTTAAATAGTTTCTATTTTCTCATGTTTTTCAAAGAGATAATTACGCCATTTCTAATGTTACCTGTTACAGTACCCTTATCTTATTGTTGATGAACCTTTTGATGGAATTATTTCATGAAAAAAAAATCTAGAAAGGCAGCTTTAATGTTTTATTTTTATTATTTGCAATGCACTTTTAAAAACTAGTATCACAGTATTAAAGAGACAAGGAATATGAAAAAACAATTACTGAAAAAGTAATAAATCTTATTGCAAAAAATTGCTATCACCCTATATTTTTGTTATGCTGGGAGAGATGAATCACTAAGAGGCAAAAATTATTTAAGGTCACAGTGAACAAAATAAAAACACCCAACCCTTCCAAAAATCACGACATACACTGCAACTTTATATCATTCATCACTCCAATGGAGAATTTTACTGCTTTTAATGTAGAAAATCCTGTTCGTGAAATTATACCATACATCTTTATCTAGGACGAATGCACTCGTCTTTTGCATAATTATACTTTATAGTTAGATCTTTACTATTAATAAGTTTCTCAATTTTACCATACAGACATAAAATCCAGTTTTTATTTCTATTTCTAAACACTTTACAGTTATCCATTTGGATATACAAAATACACAATCCCAAATGAAAGCAAATTTGAAGGCAATACAATCCATTTCCAATAATCCGATTCCATATTATAGTCTCAAATTTCTAAGTAAACATCTACATAAACAAAGATATCAAAAAGAAGCTTAAAAGTGACAAATACAATCAATGCTTTTGTTTTGAGAGTAACATTTGGTCAAATCTTTTTATGTCAAAGCAAAACAATTACTTGCTTTATTAGCTATCAGTTATAAAATTTCAATAGAGAAGCATCTGCATTTTGAGATTAATGTAAAATTAAGTCAATAGTAAAAACTCAAATTATGAGTGTTTCTGTTAGAAACTAAGCAAATTTGTTAGCATCAGTATCTTAAACCCATGGCAAATTCATCTGTCAAGTAAAAGATTCAAGTGTGTATTTGATATGGCTCTTTTATATGTTTTTACATTAATATATTTAATTTAAAGAATGCTAATGTAATTTTAGAGATGTACTTTTAATTAACCCAGTGAAATTAAATTCACTTTTACCTCAAAATTTCTCCTTAAGGAGAGGAATGGAGGGAAAAAAAAGAAGTCTCTAAATATAAGTTAAATCCTTTTAAAAATCAAAATTCCTTCCTGCATCGAAATAGATATATTATACAAAATTCTGTCTACTGTAGATGTTTTCAGAAAGTTCCCTTACTACCAAAACATTTCATATTTTTGGCTTTCTACCTTTAGAGTTAGTACTTACCTCATTTAAACTAAAGCCTTTTATTACACTATAAAACCGTTACATGATGTTACTCTAGGCAGTTCACTAAATAGTAGAAATGAACTTAACCACAAACAAAACTCAGCTTTGTCCTCAAAAGTTCACAAAATGGACATTTCAAAATAAGCTTATGTGATTTAGAATTCACTGTGAGAGTTAAAACATGCTACCACAGAAAGCAAATTAGTAAATTTGGATAGCATATATGGCAAACTTAGCCCTTTGTTGGTTATTAAGTTCTTGTTAAACAATGCTAACTAAATATTCATTCAAAACAATCTAATTTACAAACTAGAACAATGATAATAAGTTTCACATTAAGATGGAGAGAGAGCAAAGTGACTCACATTGGCATGGATTTTTTTTTTTTAAAGAGGGACACTATTTGTAAACAACCATATTCTTAAACCACAATGAGCAAAAACACACTATATATCCAAGGGATCACTTCCTACCCTCTTGCACTTTAGACAGCTGGTAGTCAGACAGGTTTTACAAATAATACTAAAAGCAAAGAAAATCAGAGTGAAAGAAGTGAGAACTAGCATATCCAAGAGAAGCAGTAAGGATATACAGGAAACCACAAAGAAAACACAGGGCTGGACAATACAAGGCAGACCTTAGATGACTTAAGAGTTGCAGAAATAATTTTTAAATTTCATTACCACCAGGATCATTCATCAGATAATTAAGAGAATTTTAATTTCCACATATGCCTTAAAGTAACACTAACTCTTAAGATGAAACATCTTGCCCTAGCTGGTTTGGCTCAGTGGATAGAGCAGGGGGCCTCAAACTTGTTAAACAGGGGGCCAGTTCACTGTCCCTCAGACCGTTGGAGGGCCGGACTATAGTTTAAAAAAAAACTATGAACAAATTCCTATGCACACTGCACATATCTTATTTTGAAGTAAAAAAACAAAACGGGAACAAATACAATATTTGTATTTGCATGTGGCCCGTGGGCCGTAGTTTGAGGACCCCTGGGATAGAGCATCAACCTGTGGACTGAAGGGTCCTGGTTTGATTCCAGTTAAGGGCACAAGCCCGGGGTTGTGGGCTCAATCCCCAGTGGGGGGCGTACAGGAGGCAGCCGATCAATGATTCTCATCATTGATGTTTCATTTTCTATTTAAAAAAATATATATTTTATTGATTTTTTACAGAGAGGAAGGGAGAGGGATAGAGAGTTAGAAACATCGATGAGAGAGAAACATCGAACAGCTGCCTCCTGCACACCCCCTACTGGGGATGTGCCCGCACCAAGGTACATGCCCTTGACCTGAATCGAACCTGGGACCCTTCAGTCCCCAGGCTGACACTCTATCCACTGAGCCAAACCGGTTAGGGCTCATCATTGATGTTTCTATCTCTCTCCCTCCCTCTCCTTTCCTCTCTGAAATCAATAAAAATTATTAGAAGAAAAGAAAGATGAAACATCTTAATGTAAGAAACTTTTGTTTTCCCCAAATTAATGAAAAGCTATAAACTGAGTAAGAAATGCAAAGTGCCCTAAATTTTATGCAGTAACATTTAAGATCATGATATTTATGGCAGAAGTAATCACTCAACAAAAAGTGTAGTTATTTAACCCATATTCTATTCATGATGCTTAAATTTTTATCAAAGAAATGGGTAATGATTTGAGAATATGTGAAACTCATTTATCAGGGAAAGATGAATAAAGAGTATTAAAAAAAAAAAATTGGGGCCCGATCTGTGTGGTTTAGTGGTTAAACATCGACCTATGAACCAGGTCATGGTTCCATTCCGATCGGGGCACATGCCTGGGTTACAGGCTCAATCCCCAGTAGGGGGCATTCGGGAGGCAGCCCATCAATGATACTCTCTCATCACTGATATTTCTATCTCTCCCTCTTCCGTCCTCTCTGAAATCAGTAAAAATATATTTTTTTAAAAATAATAATTTGGTTTCAACTCCTCAATACACAAAGAGAAAATGAATTCTTAACAGAAATAAGTGGAATGCAACCTAAAGAAAATAACTATGAAAGTAAAATTATTTCTGTAAGTGTACAGTCTTACAACACTGATATACTTTTATTTTGCTCAGAGTGGTCTGAGAATAGGCAGAAATTACAGCGTATAAAGCACAATGTATTTACATACCAAAAATTTACAATACTGATATTCTCATTGAAATATTATCTATTTGAACCTAGATATTGTATGCTTTTAGAAAAACTAATACATTTTTTTAAATGAGAGAATGCAATTAACATTACCAACAGTTCAAACACAAAAAATTAAAATAGGACAGACATTAACAGATTGCCAACATCATAATGTTTCCAGTTAAATTAAGAACTTGCCCTTTTAGCCATTCATCATTTTAATAATAGATTACATTGTTTTATTTGTATACAGACTTTCTGACATTCACTTCAGCTTCCAAGGTACTCTTATTCCATTTAGTCAATTTTAAGATTTACCTGAAAGCTCAAAAGGACTCATATTTAAAAACTTCTAAAAAGGTCAACAGACCTTAAAGGTGATTAAATATGCAGATATTGCTTATTTTTAAAAGTTTTTCACTTGATTATATTTAATCCCACTCCCCCATCCCTACATCAACAATAAGTTTGGTATATAGCAAAGATATAATATTCCAGAATAACAGAAATTTTTGCACTGGAAATGCTTATGTAAAAATATTGCTTGGATGAAGGCACATAACAATATTGCAACTCAATTCTGATTAATGTACAAACAAAACATGAAGATTCTGGTATGGTTACACATCAGTGATTAAGAAAAATGTCAACAATAGTTTTCAAGTTAGCAATTCATAGTTAATGTCTGAATCTAACAAAACTCAAGGCATGATATAGTTAGATGTACCCATTACTGGAATGTAATGTTAGTTAATTCAAAGTATTTAAAATCAACAATGAACTTTTCAAGGAGTTTACTTGGCCGACTATGCTAGTTTTAAATAGAACCAGTAAGAAAACTCATTAAAAATAACTTGTAGGACCTGTACCTTACTATAAAATGAAATGGCTGATAAGCATTCAAGTAATAAGTTGGCCACAATTCATCTTAAGCAATTGATGGACACTGAGAATTTTTTCATAAGATGAAATAAGATCTGTTCAACCCAGGGGTATCAAAACCTGTATCTTTTAAAATTTAATGTTTAAATTTACATGATACAAGTATTCAATTGTTACTCATCCGAAAAACAGTACCTATTTCAATAAGCCCAATTTTAAAAGTGAAAGATGTTTTGCATCACATTAAAGAAATGTTTTGAGAAGTATTTATATTAAGTTCTATAATACAAATACATGGAGGAATATTTTAAAATTGAAATTTTGATAAATATACTACATATTTGGAATGCCCTAAGACCCCTGAGTCATTAACTGTCAGGGTTAGAATATTGAAATGCAAGGAAAAGTATTAAAACTGGCCTTTTCACTTCAAAGAGCTCTTAAAACTACAAATAATGGAATAGATTATTAGGTACCATAAAAATAAGACTGACATGCTTATTTACTAAATTATCAAAAAAATTATCAGTTGCTAAAACATATCTATTAGCTAAATAAACTGCTCTTCTATCACAAAATTATACATTGATAGTCTTTGATTTTTGTCCATAACAGTTTAAATACTAACAATTACCATCACTTAATTTTCAATGTTCCCCATGATTATGGGAAATAACTGTGTAAAGAGTAGTTACACAGTTATAGTCTGAGTATGCCAACAACATATAAAGAAAAAGTTTGTTTACAGAATAACCTTTGTGTCACATGCACAAGCATTTATAGTGCCCTCCTCCCACTTTTCACATGAATAAATGCTGTTCACAATATAAAAATAAAATTACACGTGAAAATGAAGTAGAAACAGACAACTCTTACTGCTTTATGAAAAATGTACACAAGAAAGTTTTAAAATACAGAAAAAAAGACAATGATTATGGTTATGAATGAAACATCAAAGAAAATTATTCCATGGTTATTCTAACCTGGGATGAATAATTTGATACAATTAAAAATTCTTAGATATGAAGTATCCCGAACCCATTTTAATTAAGGTTCATATCTTCTTTCCAAATTAAATACTGTGTTTTGTTTTTTTTCTTTTAAAAACAAAAACCAGGTGCTAGAAAAAGTGTCTTTACTAAAAATTGGGTTTTTTGTTTTTTTAAGTAGAAAAGCTCTTTCAATGTTGAGAAACCATCCTGCATTTTTAAGTTTTAGGGATGAATGAATGAAGTTAGTTCCAGAAGAGAAACTTTAAAATTTACTTTTTAAAGTCCAAGCAC